TAACTGGTCACATTTAATCAAGGGCAAACATTAATAATCTTTGATGATTAATTGGATATAGAGTAGGAAGAACTGGGAAGAGACAAATATTGTTCTCGGGTTTCAACCATGCCTAGTTTCACTGAAATGGAGTGAAGAGGATGGTATGAGAAAAAAAAAATTAGTTTTGTTTTAAACATGGAAAGTTTGAAGCAGAATGAAATTTCCACAAGGGAAAGACCTGTCAGAGAAGGGGGCTTCTGCTTCAGAAAAAGGTATAGTGCTGCATTATAAATAAGCAAATTGAAAACTAGATTTGGACAATGCCCAGTCAGGGATTAGAAGGAGAAAAAAGGAGTCATGGGAGCCATTGAAGGGTTATTTCATTTGAGGTTGTCTACTATTCATCAATCAAACTGTGGGTTTCTTTATTCATGCTTTAGAAGAAGAAACCATGGCAATGACAGAAAGAAAATAAACTTTGCAATGCTTCTCCAAAAACATGCTAAATATTATATCAAAATATATAGGTGGAAATGGAGATGGAGGAATAGAAACAGAAATGGATAGTATAAATATACAGATATTTAGAAATAGATATGGATAGAGGGGTCAGGAGTTATGTTTTGTTTAACATAGAGCCCAAAGGTTTAACCTTTTTTTAACCAAATCCAAGCTACATCTCTATTACTTTAAAAATGCTGCCTCAAAACTTGCTATAAAAAAGCACCTTGCCATATAACGTCTTATTTTTCCAGTCTATGTGCCACTTATTTGAACATTTAAGGTCATATGATTTAGTTTAATTTAGTATTTTGGATCAATATTCTCTCATCATCTGAATTAAAAATAAGATTTATGTCTTATATTTCTTCCATACAATTATTGCACAGTGATGAATTGATAGTAGAAGCACAATTATTCATTCAAATAACATTTTTATTAGAAACTTTTTTGTGCCTGGCAGAAAAGTAAATACATTTTTTTAAAAAAGCTATTACATCCAGTCACAAAAGATCACATATTGTATGATTTTCTTTATATGAAATATCCAGACTTGGCAAATCTAAAGAGATAGAAAGTAAATCAGTAATTGCCAAGGGTTTGGGGAGGGGTGATATGAGTTTTGGTGAGATGATAGCTAAAAGGTATAAGATTTCTTTCTGGAGTAGTGAAAATGTTCTAAAATTGATTATGTTGATGGCTGTACAATTCTGTGGATATATCAAAAACCATTGAATTGTACACTTTATTGAATGAAGAGTCTGGTATGTGAATTGTACCTCAATAAAACTGTTACCAAAAAAATAGTTGCATAGTTTATTTTGTCTTGAGGAAAACTTTACATTCAAGCACAATAAATGTGGAAACCACCATATAGTAGTATGGTATACATGGAGGTAAGTGCAAATAATTTTGGATGCAAAGAAGAAGAGAATGTTATTTTGTACAACAGTATGAAGGGAGCTCAATGGGTATTTAATTGATTGATTGATTAATAACTGGCTGTGCCTACTGCTCTTAGCACCATATTGCCTCTAGCCTTGACAGCTATCAGCTTTCTCAGAGTGGGATGTTAATTCACGAATTCAAGGCCTGGTCACGAAAAGGAACATGCCCCCTAGCCACTTGGAGCTCTCTGAAACATTTGCTTTACATTCAGATGGAAAGCCAGAAGAACAGGAAATCAAGCTCTGACATGTGGGCATTTGGTCCAGTGGCCAAAGCTTTCTTTCCTTCGAAGATTAATGAAGCACAAAGATGCCAGCTCTTTCCTTTCAACTCCCCACAATAATCGGTTCTCAGCAGCCTGCCAGTTTAATATTACTTCACTTCAATGCTCAGGAATGGTCCCATTTGGAAAGGGCCAGGAAAATTTGGTCCAAGAGTTTTTATGAAGAACAGCTTAACAACCCCTCTAGAACATTCCATAAGCAATATTACAAGCTTTCCTTTCTTTTTTATATCTAGAGATGGGGAAAAGAGTAGGGGGGCATTGTAATCATGAGTCAAATTTCAAAGTCAATAAGTTGAACCACTGCTAGGCCCTGGGTATTTTCTAAATTAATTGACCATCAAATTCTTACCCTCTACATCTGCATTACATTAGGAATCATAAAACTATTTGGGGTTTTTTGCTACTTAAATCAAAGATTGCATGGGCATAATGCTTTGAGAGGGCCTGTTCCTTTTCAAGAAATATTTTGAATTCATAAAAAGAAACAAGATTATCTTTTGTGTTTATGCATTGCTATTCCTCCTCTAAAGAGCTCATATGACTTTGTGTTGTCTTGTCAGTCTTGATAAGGGAAAATGGAGACAGACTTCTGTGTCAGCTGCTGACTCTGAAGGAAAACTTGGACTTCCTGCTAGGCCCTTTGGTGCTTGCCAACTATTGCATTTGGTTGAATTTTGTGAGTTGTGCATTCCTTCATTCCACTTATTAATTAATTCATTTATTAATCTGACAAATACATACATAGCATGCTAGATAGATGCTGGAGACACCAAGAGAAGAGAAAAATGAGCCTCTAGCCTCAGAATGTGTATAGGCTAGTGCAAGAAACAGACAACCTAAAAGTAAATAAAATATAGGAGAAATAAATGCAGTGCTGTGATGGCAAATGAAATGGGGTAATGTTATCTGCTTTACATTGAATAATTCCAAACCCTCTGGGAGGAGGTAGAAATTGAAAAGAAATAAAAGTAGAAATCAGCCACACAGGGAAAAAGTTCAGGGAAATGTGTTCCAGGCATGAGGAACGGATAGTGCCAAGTCCCTGATGCAGGGAAGAGTTCAACTGTTTTAGAAACATACAGAAGGGTAGTGTGGCCTGATAGATCGTGTGAGGAAGAGTGGCAAAACAGGAATATGTGTAGTGCCTTGCATGTGGTGGATACAGTGCTGTACACTGACAAGATGATATGGTTTACTATACTGGTTCAAGCTGTTTGACTATTGACTATTGACTATGGAGTCATACACTCACTTAAGTTGTCCGTGTGCTTTTTCTCACTCCAAATTTGTAAGAGAGACACCGTTACTATCCTGCACATTTTACAAATGAAAAAGAGGAAAGAAGGTTAAGTCCACTGCTTAAAACACACAGCTAATAGTGTAGATCAGAGAACAGAGATTTGAATGCCAACATTTTGATGCTACTGCCCAAGCACTGGACACTCTGCTGTGGTACCACTTGGTTGTTTATTATCACACAGGAAGTAGGCGAAATAGAGGAGTAGGCAGGCAATCAGCATATACAGTCTTGTCTTCAGGAAATTAAAGGATGCTAGCAGAGCATCTGAGCAAGGCTAAGAAGTCAGTATGCCTTGCTGGGAGAACGGATCAAGGGGAGAGAATGAGGTGGGGCCCCTGTTCCAAAAGGGAGACCAGAGGCTTTTAAAGCGCGTCAAGTTGTTCGGAGAACTCTAGTAGTTCTGCACAACTGAAACACATGGAGTGGGAAGTGGCTGGAGTTTGTAAAGAGATGATGCTGGAGCAGCAGGCAGGTTCAAAGTCATAAAGATCTGCCCTCCTTGCTGATGTCTACTACTACCCACATCACCCCAAGTAACAATATTGTCATCAGTGTCAAAGGCAAAAGCAACATATTTTGCTTTATATTTGGAGGCAGATCAAAGGAAATTGATGGAGAAATATTGTATAATGATGTAATAACAGCTACATTATTACTCTAGCATATCGTACTTTTGTCCAGGCAAAAGATCACAGAATAACCAAGTCTCACTCAAATCTAAGAAGCCCTCTGCTGACTCTCTAGAGTTAGACGGGCTAATTCAAGTTATGCAATTCTGAGAAACAAATAAAATGCAAGGCTATCCCTGAAGCTGCTTCCTTGAGTTCAGAGGTCTGTAGTTTGAGTTCTTGGGGAAACTGCCTTTTTTCCAAAGATAACGCTAAATTTAGCTCTAGGCCAGCATATGTGAAGGAAAGTAAGAAGCTAAAAGGTCAAGGAAGGAAATGTCAAGTTGGAAACGCCTTGGAAAGTTCTTGGAGTCATGCTCTCTCTTTATTGTAATAGAAGCCTATGGCTATTTTCTCTTTTTTCTTCACTGAGCTCTGGTTTGGTCCCAGGAACACGCCTTTTAGAGATAGGCTGGGCCAGTAAGCCCGGCTCTAACAATGACTTCCTCTGTATAATACATTCCAACCACACGATCAAGGCCACATCTAGGGACTCAGGGAACCCCATGCAGCAGATCTTCAGTGGGTGTTGCAAAAGATTCTGTAGCCATCTTGAATTAAACCATTATGAGATAACAGATAGAGCAAACAACCTCAGATGGTGGTTTATTCTCTTATTCAGATCTCATATATTTAAAGAAAAATTTTTTTCTCTTTCCTGAAGTAAAATATGTTTATCACTGAAAATTTGGAAATTATAGAAAGATAAAGAAGAACAAAGAAAAATCACTCATCATCCTATTATATTTTTATTATTTGAGCTAAACTCTTCAGCTATTTTTATCTGACTATAAAATTCTGTTTTTAGATAAACACATACTTGTAAAGCATATATAAGCATATATACAGATAAGTATACACATAAATATGTTATTACAAAAAATTATATGACAGAAAGTGGATCACATTGCATATATGATATTCATTTGGCACTTATCTATTATGGATTTATATATTTTCTTAATTATTTATAAGGGTTCTATATGAAGAAGTCTAATTCTTTGTTAGTTGTATATGCTACAAACATTTTCCTGATTTTTAATTTGCCTTTTATGATTAATCCATTTTTACATGCAAATGGTTTTAATTTTTGTGTAGCCAATCAATTATATTTTCTTTTTTTGTTGTTATTTAGTTTTTATTTCTCTGCAATCCAACTAGACTTGGAAGGGAATAAGGAAAATATGGAACCCAAAGAATTATAGCGAGAGCACAAAGATTATAGGGATACTGCGAGCAAATGGGATGGAGGGGGTGCTCTCCTAAGCTACAGAAAGATTGATCTGGTAGTTTAAGATAAAGCAAGTCAAATTTATTAGAGTTGTCCACAGTCAGCAATGGTGATCTTCTTGCTGGTTTTGTCATTCTTGGACCCAAAGCCCTCCGTAGCTTGCACAGCATTCATGCCCTCTTTCACCTTGCCAAAAACCACATGCTTGCCAACCAACCATTCAGTCTTAGTAGTGCAGATGAAAAACTGGGAACCGTTTGTGTTGGGTTCAGCATCTGCCATGGATAAGATGTCAGGACCTGTATGCTTCAAGATGAAGTTCTCATCATCAAATTTCTCCCCATAGATGGATTTGCCGCCAGTGCCATTATGGCTTGTAAAGTCACAACCCTGGCACATAAACCCTGGAATAATTCTGTGAACGCAGGAACCCTTATAACCGAATCCTTTCTCTTCAGTGCTCAGAGCATGAAAGTTTTCTGCTGTCTTTGGAACTTTGTCTGCAAACAGCTCAAAGGAGACGGGGCCCAAGGGCTCACCGTTGACGGCGATGTCGAAGAACATAGTGGGGTTGACTATGGCTGATGGGAAAAGGCTCAAGGTGGTGGCATCTGCAAAGCCCATTATATTTTCCATTATGATTGATGCCATTGATATTATCCTTAGAATACTTATGCCCACCCCAAAATTATGTAAATAATCACCTGTCTTTTCTTATAAAATTTTTATGGCTTTCTTTTCTGAATATAAATCCTTAATGCTTCTGGAATTTATGGTGGTAAAGGGTGTGAAGAGGGATCTAGCTTGGTATTTTTCAAATTGGTATAAGTAAATTACTTCAATATCATTTATTAGTAAATCCATCCTTTCTCCCATTGAATTAAAATGTTGCTTTCATTATGTAATAATTTCCATGTGCTGATAATACATTTCTCGACTTCATATGCAGTTCCATTGATCAATTCATCTGTACCACACTGTATCTCACTATTTTAATATACGATACATTTTTTTAACTGACAAGGAAAACCTCCCTTCATTGCTCTTTGTTTGTTTTAGTTATTTCTAAGTGTTCTTTTGTTTCAAATTAACTTAAGAATTATATTGGGAATTTCAAGTAAAATACTCTTGAAAGAACTTCTGGAAATGAATGGAATCAGAGCTGGAGGCAGAAATAGCTTTGGGACCCTGTGTTTGTCCTCTCTCTTCTCCTCTCCTCTCCTCTCTTTCTCTCTCGCCCTTATCACCACCTCTCTGATTTTCCTTCACTATGGGCTCCCACCTTCCCTTCTTGCAGCAGCTGACCATAGCTGTCCTGGTCCCATTGCATTTTTATTCCTTTACTGCAGACCCTATGGTCAACTGGTTTAATTTCATAGCATTTCTCAATTGTCCTTCTAACAAGTCAGCACATCTCTTTGAACCAGGACATAGGTCACTAGCCAGTAGCTGTATTAGCTGTATTGCCTCCCTTTGTATCAGGTTCCTTCCCCACTTTGAATCAGTGAGGCTGAAGGGTGGAAGATCAGAGAGTTACCTATGGTAAAGCATGGCAATCTAAATACTAGGGGCTATGGTGGGATAGATTTTCTTAGACAGGTATGTATACAGTGCAGACATTTAGACAGTTGGCTCACCTAGATCATAAATGTAAGCAGAATAAATGGTATATAAACCTATATTTTAGTATAACTTTAATTTTTGATATATATATTTCAGTTTATATATATGCAATTATAATGGCATTTATTGAGTTCTTATATTAAGTTAAACACATTGCTAAGTTCTTCATAACCTTTCTCTCATTAAATTGTTTTCAGTCACAAGATAAATATTACTCTCACCATTTTACAGCTGAAACAACTGAAGCTCAGACAAACTAAATCAAACTTACTCAAACTCACAAGGTTAATGTCAAAGTCAGAAATGGAATCAAACTCACTTTGTCTCCGAAGTCCAAACTTTTCACTATTATACATCTTTAGAAGAAATAGAAGGGATTACAAGAAGTACTGAGGAGATTTTCCTGTGGCCAATATGATTATAAATGATAGAATTTTCATAAGAGAGAATCTAGTGTTTATGAGTGTAGGCTTCAGAATTTGACTTGCAGTATTTAAATCCTAGCACTGCTGTTTACTTGCTGTGTGTTTTGGGCAAGTCACTTAACTTCTTTAAGCTTTACTTCCTTAATATTTGCCCAAATTTCTCAAGGAGCATATATTTCACCTTTTCTTAAGTGGAAGATGAGGGTGGGGGTTGTTTATTTTTTATCTTTAATAGTAAATACATATATTTAAAATAGTAATGTCAAATTATATTAAGCGATTTCCCAATTTCTCCGATAACTAATGACATGGATGTTTAAGAACACTAACAAAATTTTTAATTATAGTTGAAAAAAAAGGCAAAAGGAAAAGTTTCAAGGGCAGATCTTTTTACTTTCTGGGCAAACTTAACAGAGCCAGATGAAAACCTAGATTCTCTCTTATGAAAAAATGCTTCTACTGGTACTCCTTGAATGCTGACTACCATTCTATTTTCTCTAAATGTTCTCTATGACAGAGTTTATCAGAGTGAATTCTTTATGCAAAATGTAGATTCTTGAGCAACAACTCTCCTCTACTAAATCAGAATCTCAGGGAATGGGTTCCAGAAACCTTTTTTTTTTTTTTTAACTCATGCTCTGATGACTCTTATGCATGATGACATTTGTAAATCACAACTCTAAGACACCTGAAATGGATGAAAGGAAAGGGGAGATGGATTCTAAGCTCAGTTCTGACTGGAACTAGTTGTGTGTCCTTGAAAAGTCCCTGCAGTTCACTCCATCAGTTTCATGTGTCTCATGATTTTAAAGCCTTCTAGGGTCTCTTCCGAGCACTCTATTCTTTCTTCCCATGTAAAAATGTCTGGCACACAAAATAGTAGGTAAATGCTTCTTGGAGATGGAACTGGAAAGTGCCTGAAAGAAAAGTAGAAATTTATTTGACAAAGATTATCATGTATTCTAGCCAAAAATGAGCATAGCTAACACTGAAGGGGCAATGAGACCACATTCCTGCCCTGCATCATCGACTTCTCCTTGGAAAGTAGTCAAAGGCAAATGATGTGGAAAGACTATTAGCTTAGCTCATTGTGGGTTGCTATAGCAAAATGCCAGGGAATGAGAAATTTATTAAGAGAAGGAGGAGGAGGAAGAAGAAGAAGAAGAGGAAGAAGAAGAAGAAGAAGAGGAAGAGGAAGAAGAAGAAGAGAAGAAGAAGAAGAGGAGGAGGAGGAGGAGGAGGAGGAGGAGTAAGTTATGGAGTCTTAGGAGTCTAAGACCCAGGGGCAAGCATTCGGTGAGATCTTTCTTGCTGCATCATAACATGGTAGAAGGCATCATATGGCAGAAGAGCAAGAGCATGTGTGTCTACTGAGGTATCTTTTCCTCTTTTTATAAAGGCACCAGTCCCATCATGGGAGCTCCACCCTGACGACCTTATCTAATACAATTTGTTCCACTCAACATATGAATTTAGGGCTTCAGTTTCCAACACATAAAATTTAGAGGACTCATTCAAACCATAGCAACTGAGATCAGCTCTTAATGTCAGGATAAAAAGTTTTTATTTTTGTAAGTAGGCAACCAGTGGCCATAAATAGCTGATGAGCAGGGTTATGGTATGATGGAAGGGATGTTTTGTATGTCAGGAAATATAAGAGGCTTGCGGCAGAATAGCCTGTAGGAGGCACCTAGAAAACCCTTGAAAAAAAATGGTAAGAGCATAAATTAGAGTGGTAATGAAATACAAAAAAAGTGATTCAAAAAGAGTTTAAAAACTTCCAGTTTCAACACTGACAGGAGAAGAGCTTAGATATCATCAGTGCCATCTTTACAATAAGAAAAGCTGGACAAACTAAAAATTGGTGACTATAACTTTGGACAGGAAAGAAAATTGAAATAAGTACCTGAAAATACTTTTTTAGAACAAAAGGCTTACTGTAGAAAGTGATAGATTTTCTTCATATTATCATGAATTTAATAATCTCCCATAAAAACTTCCACACAGCTTTTAGAGAAACTTAATATGCTGATCTTGCTTACTTTATGGAATAAAGTCATAAGAAAAGCCAAAAAAAAAATTTAAATGAAGGTAAGTAGGCTAACGGAAGAACTCTTACCAGATTTTTAGTTGCATTATTAATTTCGGTTTTTAAAATAATAAGCAAATTTTAATTAAAAAATTAAAGTATAGATGTTCTTATTTATCCAATATAACAATTAAACCTTTTAGAGACTTAAATGGGACTTTCAAAGAATCTGGTCATGCCTAAAATAGTAAGATGAGATTAGACCACATAAGAAGAAGAGTGAAAGCAAGGTTATGGTTCATTATCCACCTCATCCCGACGCACATAAGTACATGTCAGATGTACTTATTCCTAAAACGAGGTAAGGAGCTATATTATTCAAGATAAAATTCAGTTCTGAGGATAGAACCTTGAGAGCAAAGAAGCTCTGCCTCCAAATATTCTCAGATTTCTTATTCCAGATCATACTTTGTTATCCCTAGATCATAGCCTTCATCCTTTGGATCCAAGATGGCAGCAACCACTTACTCATTAGTAAAAGGCAGGTAGAGACTATGAAGAGGAAGAGGACATAGGTCATGGGCCAACAGCATTAAAGGAAGGTTTCTGAAGGTTGCTTTTCTCTTATATCACATTAGCCAAAACAAAGTCACATGTTTCTACTAGTTGCCAAGGAACACTGGAATTTTGTCTTTTTCTGAGCATCTCAACATTCAGCTAAAATTCTACTACTATAAAAGAAAGACAGCTGGGCTCAGTGGCCCAGCCTGTAATCCCGCGCTTTTGGGATGCTGAGGTGAGTGGATTGCCTGAGTCCAAGGGTTCGAGACCTGCCTGGGCAGTGAGACCTCATCTCTACAATAAATCAAAAAATCAGCCGGGCGTGGTAGCGCATGCCTGTAATTCCGGCTACTGGAAGGCTGAGGCGGAAGGATGGCGGGAGCCCAGCAGTTCGAGGCTACAGTGGCCCGGAGCGGCCACTGCACTCCAGTCTGGGCGACAGAGTGACACTCCAACTCAAAAAAAAAAATAAATAAATAAATAATAAAAGAAACTCATATTAGAAACTAATCAACAGTCTCCACTACAAAAAGAAGGAAATAGAATTTGACAGTGGGAAGCTGAACAGATATTATAGAAATCTGGAATTTGGGAAGTGAAACAATCTCTGAAATGAACACGAATGAGGACATTTTTTGGCTTCCGTGGCATGAGTGATATCACGAAGCAATCCCAACTCTTCTAAAACGCTGCTATCCAGAGTCACAATTTCCTGAAGCATTAATTCATGTTATTTCAGAACCTAAATAATATGAGGATAAAAAAATGAGATTCTTATTTGAGAAACTTTTTTCAAAACAGAAATAATTTATCAAGCTGTAGAATCATGTTGTGTGTAATATTTTAATTTGTTTTAAAGCTTAAACTTTTGATAGTATTATCTGGAGCAAGAACCAATATAGAGTGAGAAATTCCCAAAATAAATAAACACTTTTAAAAACCATTATATTTTAATGTCTGCATAGCATTTTACCATAATTTATTTTACCAAAACCCAT